TATTATTATTATATTATTATATTATTATGTTATTATTATTATATTATTATATATTATTATACCCATGTTTTGAATATTTAATGGTGTTTTAATTAAAACTATTACAGGCAAGCTTTTGGATAGTTCAAGAAATTTTAAATGCTTTAACACCAAAGCAAAGATCTGAAATTTTAGCCCACTTTATAAGAGTAGCTAAGAAACTGTATGATTTAAATAACTTACATTCCTTATTTGCTATTATATCTGGTTTACATAGTGCACCAATATACAGGTTAGATTATTTCTGATACAATTAGGTATAAGTTTTTTATAACAATAAATTAATACTTATAGATTACACAAAACATGGGCTTATTTATCTAAAAAAGACAGAAGTACTTTTGATAAATTGGCTGAAATATTTAGTGATAAAAGTAATTGGATAAATCTTCGAGAACACATGAATAGCATTAAAATGCCATGTATACCTTACTTAGGATTATTTCTGACTGATCTCGTGTATATTGATATGGCACATCCAACATCAAAAGTAAGTATCAATAACTAGAAACTTCAAATTTAATTAATATACATATACTTTTTTAATGGATTGATTTTAAAATATATTCTTAGGTTATAACTTTACTTAAATTATCTTTATATATTATTAAGATTAATAATTGTACATTATAATTTCATTATGTTCATATATTTATTTTAGAATGGTGATAATCAACAGCGCATTTTAAAAATGAATACAGTATTAACCAAAGTAACAATTCTTCAAGCTAGTGAATATCCTGGTATAATTCCACTGCCTAATGTTCAACGATATTTGAGTAGTGTTCGATACATTGAAGAATTACAAAAGTTTCTTGAAGATGATCACTTTAAGTAAATATTGTTTTACTTTTTTGGTTAAAATAAGATGATTTATTATTTGTAATATATCACTTTCTGTAAAATTTAATGTACATCATACTTTTATTATTTTTGCTATATTAAAATAATTTTAGAAGTAACATAGTTTTAGCTTAAAATAGTTTGAATTCAAATTGTATATATATATGTTATACATAAATTTTAATATAATTAGCCTAAAAATTTTGTTTTTTCTTATAATTTGTAACTCTAGTATAAAATTTGTGTAATATCATTTTACAATATTATTAATAAATGCCTTTGCAATATTAAATAACTATCTAAATAGAGTATTTAAAAATTTTTTTAATCTTGTATGCTCACATAATTTCATTCGCATTTTTAAAAGATGTCCTATAATCAATTAAATAAAATAGTAAAAAAATATTTCTAAAGAAATAGTAACAAAATTATATCCATGGCTTTACTACTGTGAATATTCACAATAACATTTAAATTAACTATAAAAAATCACAAAAACTGTTCTGCTGTATGTAAAATGTAGAAAATCTGCACTACCAGATTAGATTTATCAAAACAGAAAACTAGCAATACGAAATTATGAAAAAAAATGGATAAATTACACATTTAAATTTTCATATTTATTTTAGATTATCAATGAAATTAGAACCGAATTCTCCAGTTCCATTTTCAAGTAGTAGTAAAGAATCAGTTGGTGACACAGCTGTTGCAGCTTTATCTTTATCCCCAGCACGAGGATATGCTGGATCCTTACGTTTACATGTTGGCTCAACAACAAATAAATTTGTACCTAGTCATCGAAAGTGTCGCAGTCTTGGTACAAAGTAAATTCACAAATTCTTTTAAAAATTATTACAAATGAGTTTTTGTTTAAATTTGTTTTTATTTAAACTAATTATAAATAATTATACTTACATTATCAATAAAAAACATTTAATGCTTTATATTATTAAAATTTATTTAAAATTAGGTCTATATTAAAATAATAAAACGTTTTACGAAGTTTCAATTATAATAAATTCATTAAAAATAATCTTTAATAACATTTTGATTTAGAAATTTTAAATATAAACATTTTATTTTTCAATCAATTCTAAATATAAAAATATGAAAAATGATCAAACTTATAACTTAAATATTTAAAATTTTGGTTTATTTAAATTAATTTTGCTAAGAATTAGCAATGATTATCATTGTCTTGATAGATTTCGTAGTACGAGTCTTCCACGCAACTTCCATAAGCAAGGAGGCAAATATGGATCTAGCTTGACCACTCCTGGGTGAGTCCCAAGAGTCCGCGTATAGGGTTATGCAAAATGATTCGTTTATTTGTGCTTATATAGTTATAGTAGTATTAAAATGTTGTCAAGTATGCCAAAGTCATTTCTTATTTATAGAATGTGCATGTAATACATTCACATAATTTAATAAATTCACTTAGTTTTCTTAAAATACAATATTCTTTTAGTATGATATATCTATGAACAAAATTACCATTGTGACAGGGTTGAAAATTCTTAATTTAAACTTTCTTTTTTATTATTTTTTTATTTAGATTAATAACTAAATTAAGGCATGTTAATATATATTTTAATGATTGTTTTGTATATAATTATTGATGTCATTCATTATATAAATTATATTAATTTAAATATAAAAAGTATAAATAAATTTTTAGAAATATGATAATGAGTTTTGTTAAATTTAATTATATTTAAGTTGTTCAAAAATATACTATTTTAAATGGATTTATCAAAGCATTAGATAACTAATATATACTTGGTATTTTTTCCTGTAAATCCCTATTTAATTTTCTTTTCATCTAACTACATATATAATATTTATCCTGAATACCATTCATTAAGTAATATTCATTAAATACTCTGTTATTAAAGAATTTATTAATTTTATTATTAATAAGATAATAGTAATATTTATATATAAAAATATATATTTTATTATTTTTTATTATCTTTTAATAAGATAATATTTTATTGTAAAAGCGAAATTTTCAACAAGTTTATAAATATTACATTTATAAATTATATATTTAATCAAATATAAAATAATTAAATATATCAGAAAATTTATATATATATAATTTTGTGTTATATGATTTTACACAGTGTTCATAAAAGATAATTATTATAATGGTAGCAATTATTATTAATGTAAATAGGAAGCAATTATAGTTTATTGAATCTTTCATATAAAGGAGTTAAATTATAATATTGAGAAACAATTAAATTATGACATTTTTTAATGGTTTTAAAAGAATTTTTATAAATACTTTTCAGATTGAATTATTACTTCAATTTTTATTTTACTCAAATTATTTTTATTATAAAATTATTACGTTTAGTGCAAATTTATTTATATCTAGGATTTATTTATATTTAGGAACTAAAGAAAATATGCTGCTTTCTATCAACAACTATTGTTGCATGAATTATTTTATTGTTTTTTTAAATATAAAATAACTAATTTAATAATAATTTTATTACAGTATATTTAATAAAGCAGCGATATCTACTGAGGCAACTCATATAACAGTTCGCCATTTATTAGATGATTCTGTATTGGAAGAACCACATTTGATAACTCAGCTTGTAGATCTTGATCAAAATTTACTAGGACCTATTGATGCTGTTAATGAAGACTGTACTTTGTTATCGAAAATAAGGTAATATATTACTTTTACATCAAAATTTTATTCAATATTAAATGTACTAAAATTTTGATCAATGTAAGACGAACTTTTAAATTGAATTTTCTTAAATTATGTATTATTAATGTATTTTTAATTAAGTAACAATTTTGTATTTAATATCTAATATAAAAGTATATTTACTAAATCATATAGTAAAATGATAAAGTATGTGGTAACAAAAGTTATTTCAAATTAAAAATTATAGAAAATGTAAATGAAAATGTGATTAAATGGTAGCTTAGAAAAGTAATTTGTAATCATTCACGCGTTTAATGTTATTGTATTTTACGATATTTGTATTCCTCTTTAATTAAAAATTAAGCAAAATATTTATCTTATTTAAAAATAATAATTTTTGTTTAATTTAAAATATTAATTTATTTTACACATCTATTTTACAGTAAACTATCAATTTTACCATGTGATATTGATAGCTCTATAGAGCCTCGTTGTATAATACAAGGTACTTTAAGGAGAAAAATAATATTACGAGATGGACGTAAACCTACAGTATCAACTTGGCAGAGATACTGGATTCAATTATGGACATCTTCTATGATTTATTTTTCACCAAAATATTTTAAAGGGTACATTATTGTTTTTTATTAAATAAGTTTAATTTTAAATAAATAAATTTATATAAAGGAAGTAATGTAATAATTACAATTTAAAATAAAATTTGTTATAATTTAAAACATTTTTTAAATCTTCAATATATTAATTCTGTGATGATAATTGTTAAGAAATTTAATTATATTATTTTCAGTATATTAATAAATGAAAAAGTTTACTTGTACAAGTACCTATAAGTATAGTATATCTATCATATTTTTATATTAGATTATTCACATAAAATAACATTTATATTGAACTATTAAGTAGATATATTATTTTAAAAGTATGGTGCATTAAAATTCAACAAATTTATATTTTGAATTATATTATTTAACTAAATAATTTTTGAGATTTGTTTGGATAATATTCTATTACAATTGAAATTAGAACCAAAAAAAAAACTTGTAATTTATTTCATATCTGAAAACTCTATCTAGAAAAAATCACTGAATAATTTTATTGTTTGATAAAAATAATATAATATATACTATATTTATAAAAATATAGTGACTTTAATAATTAATAATTTGTTAAGAAAGGTAAAATATATTAGTAAAATATTCATATAATACCAATTTTATTTTTAATATGTACACATAAAATGTCTAGTTTTTTTAAACAAAATTAATTAATTTAAATATATTTATATATATATATATATATATATATATATATGAATAATTCACTTTTTCAATTAAACAATTTATAATCAATAATTTCTAAATTATATGTAATATGAGTATATGCATCAATTTTAATTTATTTTAATGTATTTAGTTTTTAATCACTAAATTAAATATTTATATTAAAGAAGATTAATAAATGTTAATAATTAATTGAAAATATAATGTTTCTATTAATATTTTAAATATATATTATTCTATATTCTCAAAATATTTATAAAATGCCTTAAGTATTTTAATATTAATAAGAATAATATACATAACATACTCTACTTATAATATGAATTTTTTATTATTATATTGTTTAAATTCATTATACTTTTATTCTACTTCAATTTCTTAATTTATTAAATTTAATGTTTTCATAAACATTACATAAATTAAAATTTTCAGTTTTATATTTTTCATTCTAATTATGATAAATAATATTTTTCTTGTATCCTTTTCAGATAAAGAAATATTGTTAAAAATGTAATAATATTCAGTATAATTTATTAAGATATATTTATTAATCTCTTCTTTTGTTTTCTTTTTTGACATAGAAATGATAGAGGCGATTTTAAACGTGAACCATATAAAATGGTCTCAGTATTTGGTTGGGTTGTTGAAGCATTGGACAGTACATTTCATGCAGACACCTTCTTATTAGCTGACCCCAAAAAAGGTAAATATAACCATATAATAATGTATAATATAACATGACATAAAATAATTGTAAAAATAGAAATATTTTAAAATACACTTATTATTTATAACCTATTACTATAATACACATACAATAAATTTACGTTAGTGATTTAACTATTAATATAAAGAATTACTTTGATTATGAATATTGATATTTAACTCTCTATATTTTTATAAGAATATAATTATTTTGGTTTATTTATATATTAAAATTTAATTAATTATATATAAAAATATAATTTTAAGGAACAATATCAATGTACAATACTTTAAATATCATATCAATTAGAAATTTAGAATTAATTAATTATTTATTTAATTCAATATCAATAGTTTTAAAGTTTACATATTTTATTTTAATTTATTGAGTTTTGAAATATCAATAAATTCTAAAATTAAGATTTTTATAGGTAACGTATATAAATTTCGAGCTTTATCAACTGCAGTAGCAGAACAGTGGCTTAAGGAATTACGAATAATAGTGCGTGGCGCAGTAGATCGAAAACCTGTGCCAACAAATCTCATATCATTCGAATGAAATCATACTAGATGAAAGTACACTAATTGTGTTTATTATTTGTTGGTGAATAACAAGTGAGCAACTGACTACAAGATCTATTTGGAATATAAGAAAAGAACTTTCTATGCATCATCAAATATACGGAATGAATTTACAAAATATAAAACATATCGAAATAAGTTGATATATCTAAAATATCTTAGCTTAAAAAAAGACATCTATTGTATAGTGTCTGCTGAAGAAGCCCTTGATATTTCATTACATCTAAAAAGCAATAATTTTTGTAAACGAAATCGCTCTCTAACTTTATATATATATATATTAAAACTCGTGTTAAAATATTTTAAAATTAGATTAATTATTTTTAGAATTAGATCATTGAGTCTTTATATTGTAAAAAATATATTTATCAAACATATGGATCTCAACTTTAATAATAAAGATATATATATAATTGCACTTTTTAATGCTTAGGATTATCCAATGCTTTGTAATCTTGCTGACTCTAATGTAAAATTTAATATTTTTATTATTTAAATTATTTTCTTTTTAATTAGATTTATTAAATTGATAATGTTTTATATGAAAGATTAAATTTAAAATATTGTGAAAATCCTTTATAGGTACATGCGTAAGGTGATTGTACATATATAAACTAATATCGAATGAGATCATATAATAAGTTTAACATTGCAATGGACAATAATGATTCTTAGAAGAAGATATACTGTTTCAATGAGGCAAGATTTACGTAATTTGAGGCTTACTCTAATAACAATATTAACTAGCAGTATATTTTTTATTTGAAAAAACTCAATGCAAAATAATAATAAATATTTTTAATGTTGTTTAAAAAAACTGCATATTCCTGTATTTTAATTAAAAAGTACTTTTCAATAGAATAAATAATTACTCAATTAAAGCAATGCTAGTTGTAACACGTAGTATTTCTATAATTAATATTAGTGTATTACTTATCAATACTTATTGCATTAAAATACAGCGAATATATTAGAATGAAAGAGATTAATATTGAGTATTAGACAGCATTATATAATTTTTATATGATAAATAGATAATTTCTCACGATTAGTTATGACCTTTTATGTAATCTTATAATTATTATTTTATATTTTATAATTTTATAATTATTTGAAGCTTCAATCTTCATAGAATTAAGTTTTTTATCATTGAATGATTCAATAAACGCTTTAAGAGGAAGATGATCGATAGTAGTATGAAATCAATAATTAGTTAGATATTTCAAATTTCAATAGGTATCTTGAATGCGTTTTAATTAAAAAATTAAATATTAATCAATTAAAAATTAATTTAATTTAAATTCAAAATAATTTAGTTGTTAGTAAACGACATTATAGAGTATATTGAATAAATTATTAAAATTATTTATTTTAATTTACAGTTTATTGATTTCTATGAAATAATCTCATCATATTTCCTCTCATTACTAGTAAAAAAATAATTGGAATAATATTAGACTACATAAAAACTCGATTTAAGCTTTACAATCTTATTGATAATTGATAGTTAAAATTTTCTTTAGCATAATTGATAAGATTTTTATATTTTATACACTATAATACAGAATACACATCATCAATGTTAGAAAGGTGTCTATTATATGTAATATTTTTATATTATATATAAAATATATTATAAATACATGATATAGAAAAGATATAATCCTTTTAAATAATTAATTTTTAATTTTAATATTTAATATCGTTTTATATTAATCATATAAAAGGTATTATTAATAAAGTTTTAATTATAACTAACATTTTTAAAATTATTATTTATAAAACAAAATCTAAATTAGTTTTTTTTAGATATTTTAACTATTTTTTAATTTTTTAAATTAAATTTAAAAGTTATTTTATTAGTCAAGAAATTAAAATATGTTTATAACGATAATTATTTATGTAATTGTTATAGTCTTGGAGCCGTGAAATTAACAAAAAAATATATATATTAATGAGTGTTTTTGTAGCTAATAAATAAATATATATATGTATATACAATATTATAATTAATTGTTTAAAAAAAGTAATTCATATATATTTAAATGATACACATAATATTTTGTGACTTTCTAATATAGAATTTTATCCACCTTTATCTTTTATATCCTTTATAATTTAAACAAAAATAGACATTGAAAAGACAATTAATACCCTATTATTGAATTAATATGTAAATTACTAAAATTGCCTACAACCCCAAAACACAAATTATTTATATGTATTAATAACAATATCTATTAATAAAATTAATTATTAATTAATTAATTATTCAGAAATCCTTATTAATTTATTTAATAATAGTCACATGTCTTATGCTTCTATAAATGCTTTTATGAAAATAATTTGGAGATCACTATTCAATATTTTTAAAATAACAAATTTTAATATTTTTCGTTTTTATTTAAGTTTTTAATTTTTATCATTTTTCTTTCATGGACAATAAAAAAAATTAAAGTTTTTACTTACTTCATATTAAATTTTTATTTAGTTTTTATTTACTTCATTTTAAATCAATAACATTAAAAGAAATTTATTAATAAAATGAAAGTTATATTCAGTATTGCTAATATGGAGTACGATAAATATTTATTGATAATTAAAAAATAAATAAATTAATTTAATTTGTACATTAAAAGTAGCAAAAGAAACTTCTGAATTAAAAAGATGCAATTATAAAGTCCGGTATTTTATTATTTTCTTATCAAATTTATTTTATTTAGTATCGTGATAGTAGTATTATTATTAATTACAAATATTGTTGTTTTTAAGATCTTTGTTATTAAAAAGTACAATTATTAAATAAAATTATTAAATAAAACAGTGATTTTATATTCTTTAATTTTTTTATGCAATGCAAATATTATTCAAAGTTTCCGTTATTTTATAGTATTATAATATGATTTATTTACATTTAGACCATTAAATATTAGAAGTTTGAAAAAAAAGAATTATTAGATTTCGTTTACATAACCAAATGTAGAATATTTTGTTATTTTTCAATATAGAATTGTCTTTATTTATTTTTATATTATTTCAAAATATATGTGATTTAACTTTTTTTTAATTAATTATAACAGAATACTACTAGAAGCAATACTACAGTAATTTATTCGAATTTTAGAAAAGATCATATTCTGATAATCTCATTCTTTTAACATTCAATTCTTAATCAGTATTGTCTCTGGAAATATACATTATAATATAATCGATGTTCATATTTGTTATTTAGATATAAACAATGTTAAAGCTTTGATGTTCTTGTATTCGAATAGAGAATGATGTATATATATAACAAATAATATAAATATTAGATACCAAACTATCTCCATTTACATTCCAATGAAGAAGCACTTTTCTTAGCAAATGGATAACAAAACCTGTACATACAAATAAAAATTTATCAGAGATGTAATTTAATATCAATACGATATAATTATATATTTATATAACTATATAATGATTATTTATAGCGATCAAATATTAAACTATTATAATGCATTCAGTAATTAATTATAAGAGCACCGTTACCTATAGTTTAATTCACTATCAAGTAGCAAAACTTTCATAATGAGATATTAAATAATATATAAATTGTAGTCTATTAAAACAATCATTGTGAATTTATATTTCTTATTTTAATGTGATCAATGATTAAAAAAATAACAATTTTTTTAATAAGTTGAATAAAAGGTAATGTAATTTTATATGCATTTATTTTTTTTTAATGAATTCTGATATTACATGATTGGTCTTATCTTCCAATGCATAAACTTTTAAAAAGGGATGAAAAAATTAAAACCTATACAATAAAATCTGTTTAGGTAACGATTTTAAAATGGGTCAGAAGAAAAGATAAGAAAATAAATAAATGCGTGAATATTAAATATTAGCTTTATAATGGTACATAATTAACTATATATGAATTACAATTTGTTATTATAACAGATTAAACAATGCTTTAATAATATTATTTTATAAATATACATTATTAAGTTTTAACTTTTGAATTATATTTTCAAGAAATTTTATAATAAAATTAAATAAAATCTGTTAGAAAAATAAAAATATATATTATCTTACATCATGTAAACATATTATTTAAAATTTATAAATACTTCTGAAGTTAAAGTTAAAATTAAATTAAATTAATAATTATGAAGTGTTTTTTGTAATATATTTTTTAAATTTAATGCTGTAAGGGGATAAATAAAAAAAGTAAATGTACTAATTGTTATAAAGTTATAATTAATATATTAAAATTGTAGTGATTGTTTAATTTAAACAAATGAAGAATATTTTAATTAATAAAAATTCTTTGTAATAAATAATAAAGAATATAATTTCTGACAATTTAATTTTAAAAATTGTATTCGAAATATATATAATTTCATCTACAAAATTATTTTAACATTTGAAGCGTACAGACACTGGTACGATAACGTAGAAATGTTGTACACTTACTATAAAAATATTGGTTTCCAATACCTTCTTTTAAATTGGTAGAGAAAAGAAAAAAAAAATTTTTGCTGGTGACGACAATGTATATATATATATAAGTATGTACCTATATTTCGTTAGATCATTTTCTGTTTGCTTCAATTTTAATTTAATAATTTATAATTGTTATTATATATTATAAAGATATATATATATATACAATAAAATCTTAAAAAATTAATGGAATAAGAAAAATGATTGATAAAATATCTATATCTATATTTATTTTGAAAATTGATTAAAATATAAAATAAATTGTACATATTTTTACACTAATAATAAGTTAAACTTTTATATCTATACATAGTTATATCTTCAGTAATTAATTATGCATTAAATACCTTTAATTATTTATTGTAGCTGCCAGGATGTTATTTTTACTTTAGACTGAAAACTATTTGTTATAATTTATTTTTCTGTTCAACATATGTCTTTAATAACTATATGTCTGGTATGATATAGTTTATAATAAAATTTTGATATTTCAAAATATGAAAATATATTTAGTTTTAACAAATTTTATGGTATTACAGTAAAAATTCACTGGTTTTATAATTTTTAATACACGAATGAATTTTATGGAAATGACTACATTATTTGAGAAATATTTAGTACAATTTTGCATGCATATAATTTTTATTAAAAACTATAATGTAAAAATTGAATTTAATTTTTAATAATCTTTATTTAATATAATAAATGGAATTCATTTGAAAATTTTTGAAGTAGAAATTTATATTTTAATATAGTAG